TTGGGACAAAATCGCACTGCACACGCACACACACACACACACACACACACGATCACTTTCTAAAGCTTAGTGAAAGTGAGGAAGTACCGATGCCAGATCCTTATCGATATGCCCGTGACAGATCTCAGTGATAATCCAGGATCATTAGACGACGTGTCAGATTTACTAATGGCATAACAATTTCAGTCACAGGCATTCATGTGGTGTGTGTGTGTGTGTGTGTGTGTGTGTGTTTGTGTGTTTGTGGGCGAAGAATCAGCAAGAGATAGCAGGAAGGGGTTGGAACTGTTGACAGTGACTTGGTCGCCAATGTTTGAGTGAATGAGACAGAGAGGCAGCCAGAGACATGATTTTTGGGTGTGTATATGTGTGCGTTTTAATGAAAGAGTGTTAGTGTTTGTGATACAGTTAGCGCTTCTTTCACTGTGTATGTAAGCCTGTCCACGTCCTCCAGGAGATGTGTTTGGGTTGTAATATAACCCGTTCTGTCAGCCTAATTTCTCTTTGTGATGATACAACACTTTCACGGCTTCCCCATATCACCTCGTTGACTCACTGCCCCTGCAAGTGTTTGAGTTTTTCAACCGGTGATGACTGTGTTTGCATGCATTTAAGTGTGTAAGAAGAGAGAAACGGTGCGTGATATGGTCAGCGTTTGTATGGGTTTGTATGCTTTTGCCTGTGTGCTTGTGTAAATCAGCCTTCTGTAAGCGTGGAGCGTGTTGTATGTTGTGTGGTGAAGAAGCGTACAGTAGAGTAGACATGGTCTCCATCATCTGACAGTCCTCTGCCCTGAGATGAGAAGACTGTTTTGTTCCTACTCTCTCACATAAACACATAATATCCAGCTGCTGGATAATTCAAACTCCCCGTGCAGGAGGTGTGACTACTTATGTCTCCTCGCACATTCCTAGCCTTCCTGACAATATCCTTTCACCTCGCTCTCCAGCCTGCATATCTGCCTCCAGCTTTTGAAGACCCCTCTCTTCCTGCTGAAGCATGTTTACATAGGAGTGAGTGTGTGTTTTTTCTCCCTCTCCGTCTCTTTCGAGTGCCTGTTCAATAGACAGATGGTTACACTTCCTTTTAAGGATTGATCGCAATAGCCTATCACTTACATGTGTATAGCATCTGTGTAGGGTTGTATTAAAGTGCATGCGTGAGGAGCGAGGTAAAGGGTCAGACCCGGAATTAGCCTAACACGAAACCACATTGTTTTTCAAAGTGTGGTATTTCATAGTTTGGATAGTGGGAATTGTTAGGAACGAGCTGTCACTGCGGCCAATTTACAGCAATGCACAAGCTTTTTTTTCTCCCACCCGTGTTCCAGTCTCGCATCCACCTCAAAACTTGGCTTCGCCTCAACGACAGTAACTTAGCTCTTGTTTTAAAACACAAAGTATGCATTGGAACTCATCCAGGTTTAGATTTACTGTGAGAAAGGAAGAAAGGTGAACTTTCAAAGATCGTCAAGTGGCTGCAGCCTTTTGCTTTGACATATTCCTGAGCCATTCTTCCACCGTCTGTATTTGACGCTTTTGCATTTCTTCCCGTCTCTTGCTTTCACATACACACATACTACACAGGCATGTCTAAGTGTCTGAGAGTGCCGTGTCCAAGGATTCCTGCAGCTTGTTACTGAGGCTGTCAAAAAGCACTGAGACCCACCACAGAGGTGAGGATGTGTGTGAAATCCCATGAGCCTCTACCACCGGTCAGGAGAAAAACTACAACCCACCTTTTTTACAAGCCTATAACAAAAACACATGTTCATACTGTTGAACATTAGTTTAACACATAAGAGGGGACATGTAAGACCCAGATTATGTTTTGTAAATAATTACAACACTACAACAGGTTATCTAATTGCATCAAAATGCATTGACATTTCACTCAAAGGCAACATATATGAGGATTTTAATGCTTTCAGGCAACACCCATTCTCTTGAATCAGAAATCTCAAAAAATATCTTGAAGGAATTTTTTTTTTTATTTGGCAGAATTGCACTTAAACTCCTGGATGAGACTATATATGTGTACTTTTGTGTCGGATTCATGCATAAAACAAGGTCTTGTAAAGGATAAGGTCAAAGTTTTGGTTGTACACTACTTTGTAAAGGTGAGGGAACATCTGGGTCATGGCTTAAGGACACCATTGTTGACTTACAGGGAAAAAAGGAAACTATATCATAGTCTGACATGTTGTTGACTCACCAACCACACCTTCCTCTTGATCCAGATGGCTTCAGTTATAAATCATACAGCCGCTAATGGGATTTGTCCCTTGAAAAAAAAAAACATATGTTGTTATTTGCTGACACAAGTGATGATGTAATTGTCTTTGGAGGACAGTCTTAAAGATATTTCTATACTATACATATTGGGAAAAGCTTCATAGCTAGTATTTTAATTTTTCCCACAAGCTTGGTAACTTTTCTTGCCAGATTAAGTATGATTCAAGCATTTATGGTTATTTGCAGCAACAACAAATCAGTTTAATAGAGATCATAGCTTGTTTAATATCGTTTAGTTTGAGTCAAACTGACCTGGAGCATAACACAGGACATGAATCATGGTGCCGTTTAAAGCACCTTGTGCAACCATTTCTTTCACCTCGACCTCTCTGTGCCTCTTCTGTACTGAGAGAGTGTTCAACTACTTCCTGTATTGGGAGTAAACACCTCGGACAATATAAATCACCATTTCAAACTATTTGCATAGGTCCATTGGAGACAGGGTTGCAAAGTTTGCTGCAGCATGTTCAGTTTTAGAGAAACAAATGTAACTGCTTTGAGTAAAGTAGAGAGGTTTCCTACATAGCTCTCACTTTGGACTTTGTAAATACTGTGCCTCTCCTTGCTCTGGATATAACGGAGATCTTTCCAAGTGTCGTGTCTTGGCCTGATCCCTTGCACAGCCATCCTTGGCACACTGCATAACCTCTCACACTGATTATTATTTCACTTCCTCGCATTGTTATTTTATCAGACTAAGCTCCCGTCAAGCTGCCGTCTGTTTATGGCCGCTGGTGCCAGTGTAAGCAGGACTCAGACACTCTGTTGCACTAATCTGGATTGCAGCATAAAGGACACCTCAATAAAAGCAGATCTCCTGGCTGCCTATGGTCATAAAGGAGAATAAACAAGGTTAGGGCAGAATAATGATGCTGAGCTGCTTCCTGGTATTAAGAGACTGACAGGGCTTCTTCCATTATGCAGACACAAGTCCTGTTTCTCTGGTTCTATACAGGCAGTATACAGTAGAGTCTTTACACTGGTCACAATTGCATTTTCCACTTGGAAGATTCAAATTTGATAGTTATGCAATTCTAATATATGCCTAAAACAATCATAGATGGACTTTTTTTTGCTGGAAGATTCCTTCTCTCTTAGAGTTGAAACATGCACATCATCAATCTTGCATACAATGTGCAGAACAGTAGATATGTAATAATATATTTGATAGTAACAGTAACAATAAGTACGTCAACAACATTTGTACAAACAGATATCTTCTTTCTATGACATGGCCTGGAGGTGTGAACATACAATAAATAACAAACTAATACATAAATAGACTTTAAAATTCACTTCGACCTCATTTCCTCCAGCACCTGGCCCTTGATACACTTATTTTCAGCTGGTGTATGCTAGCAGTATGGCTGCAGGGATGTCAATGTTTGTATTGGTCCACCACTTTGTTCGTTTTGGAGTAACTAGCAGTCATTACCAAGCTGTTGCACTGCAGATTAAAACATTATTGCAAAATGACTTCATTGTCGGACAAAATGAAAACGAAATACAGAAGAATGACAGCTGCTATTCTTCAAAATGTGCTATATTGTCAAATAAAGGGTCTGCTGCCGGATCGTTTATCGACACTTTTTGGTAATGAGGATTTAATAATTTGAAAATAAAGACGACCCAACCCTGCCGCATATCGACAAAAGAACCTCCTTGAACCTCCGAAAACTTTATCTCATTCAAACCCAACTTGAAAACTGTGATTGTCTCTGAAGCAATAGAAATCTGAAATGAGTTTAAGGATGGGCTCTCATCTGCAGCAAAAACAAACAAAGTGATTCGTTTTCATTCCTTACCAAGTACTGAGAGACTGAAGTGTGAATTAAGCGTGATTGCTGCATGGTGCAAAATCACTTGGTGACAGGAGGAGTTTGCGTGCAGTTTTATGCAAATGAGGAGCAACACAACATTACAATAGCCGACTGAGGCATAGATATGTTCACTTTATGTTTCATGGCTGCACAACGTGTCCCTTTGGTCTTTATCAGTCTGCTCTCAGCTGTAGCTGTAGTTGTTTTCAGTGTCATTTACAAGTGGGCAGGACATTTAAAGGGGTTTGAGATACATATAGGCAACTTCATGATCAATATATTAGCAAAACCAATAGAACCAATAGGAGTTAGATTGTTATACGTCAAATAAATATTGTATTATTTAGAGTATTATTATTGTATGAATTTATAAATCGCTTTTATCATGTATTTGTTCCTAAACAAATATTTACAAGAGCAACACTTTGCAAAAAACGCAAGTCAAACTGGACAAAAGAGACGTCCATTTTCCAACATGGAGAACGTCTTGTCATCCAAGGGAATAAACACGGCATTATTCCCCTGGATTTTTTATTTAACTTATCTCCCCAGCACGTCCTCTACTGTTTGCTACTCAGATGCAGAGATTGCTCACGCCCTGTTGGTAATAATAGATGAAGAGCTTTTGAGAAGGACATTTTTTGTCAGCTGCATGCAGAGTGTAAAAGATGTGCCATCAGATGCCTCTGACAAATTACAGAGACATATGTGAAGTTCAACGTGTCCTTATCTGACTCTTGGCTCCTTGAACTATTCACACAGTAATTGCACAGTGTCTCATACCATCTTGTTTAATAACACACATACTTAGTATTAATACCACATGGACTGTATTAATTAAAAAAACAAAACATTGAAAAAGTTTTTTTTTAGAGACAGCTGCAGGGATCAACATGTCTGAAACTCAAGCACGATGTTAGCATATGGAGATATTCCCCAGTCTAAATGTCATGTTAGTTTTGGGAACAAAGCAAATGTTTCAAAACAAATATTTTTGCTCCATAATTTTTCCAGTATTATTAGACATATGTTTGTAATCAAATGAACAGGGCGATGCGTCACAGGCTTTTGTCTTTAAACTCAGAAGAAATTGTATTTTACGTTTTTTTGTTACCTCAACAGCCTGTCACACATACTAAGGAAAGAAAGAGAAACAACAAACAGAGAAAGAAAGAGTTGACCTTAAATGCTTTCGAATAATTTGATGATAACAGTTTCATTTATATCCAAGCGTTTTTAATACATAAGGTCCCAGAATTCTTGAGGCAGCAAAAACTCATATTGTTTAAAAAAAGCCTGTACATTATAAGCCTTTTGCAATAATGCCGTTCATATTCGTTCCTTCATGCTCTGTGACTTGCAATATTAAGAACTGATTTATTGGCATAAAATGCTGAATTTGACATTGTTTTGTTTTGTAGATGCATATTCATTGCGGTTTTCTTTTTTCATTACCTAGAGCTCAGATACTGCTGTGGAAGAGATAACAGAAAACATTGAGGCTGTATTGGTAACACTGGATTACATTTGCGCATCATTTCCTGTGAAACCCTCGTTCAGTGAACGGATCGTGTTTGCCCTCCACCATCAGTCCCTCATGATGCCATCCATCTTGTCACCATTGTGTCTTGAAGCATTGGCTCCACCAGCGATGATTTATCCAGCAACTCATCTTTTGCTTTGTCATATTTCACACCGAGACAGACTATGATGGTGGACATCCTTTGTGAGCTGTGTCATCTTCTGGAGGTTTCACAAACCTTTGTTCGGAGGAGGTGCTGTAAAGGCTTCGCACGATAACAAACTCACTTAAGTTTTGTGAACTTTAAAAGTTAGCCTCTCAGAGAAAGCATATCCATCTCCTGCCAAGTAGGCACTAAATGCCTATACTTGTCAGCAGTGAGTACCTGACAGATGGCCTTGTGCGTTTTCATAACCCATGCCAGCATCTTCTGACAGCAGCCCCATCATCACCAGCCTGTGATAGATTTAGCTCATCCTGTGCAACCAAAAGTGCCTTTTTTCCCTTGTTTGCATGACAAGGTTGGCCCTACTTCATTTTCCTACCTCTTTACACCCGATCTCAGAAAAAAACATTGAAATGCATTTTCATAGTTTAAAAATGATGTTCATATAATGTGTCGCTCTAATATCCATTTCTTACAGTGTATCTTTATGTCCAGGTGCATTTGCTGAACAAAAGCAGGCACACATTTAATTGATTAGCATTGTATAGCGGATTTCCAGTCTGTGTTATTACTGCCTGTATTAAATGAAGGCTTAAAATCCGAACCTTTATTCGTCCCACAGAGGGGACATTTAAAAAAACAATAACCAATTTGGTATGAATAAAGTATAGTTACAGTTCCTCTTCTGCCTACTACTTATTCAGAGCAACACTTTCCCTGTAAGGTTCTGGGGAAAATGTGATAGAAGACATTTACGAGTCTACAAAAAGCATCGCCAGAGTGGCTCTGATGTTACACTGGACCGGATGTCTTAGGTTGTGAAAAAAAGATGAATCAGACAGCAGTTTCTCTGCTATCTGACTGTGATTTGTGTGCAGCTTGGAAGATGTATGAGGTATCAGAAAAAAACCTTTCAAACATGAAGCTCACACAAGAACGTAAAGAACTACTGAGATTGTTTAAGTGTTCATTCTAAACGGTGATGAATAGCAGGATATCCATGCAGAGGTTAACAAATCCCAAGGATCTCTAGTTTTTTTAGGATACCAAACGTTAAAGCCTTTGAAGGAAATAACACATGCAGTATACGCCCTCTAACCTCTACCACTGGGTCCAAACATATGTATTTACAGTCGTCAGGTATTTTTAAAAAGCCTACTATAGCAGCATGGCAAGCAATTCCAACAAGTGCTGAAACTCTGAAATCTGGTAACACTGCTGTTTTATAATCTGTGTTTTATAATTTATGAGTGGTGTTCGCCTATAGTTGATCTTTTTTTATGCTGTGGTATTAAGCGGGAGTTATACAGTCTGTGTTTTGTTAATTTGTTTATTGGACAAAATCTAAAGTGACACAAAAGAGAAAACAAAGCCCACTCTTGTCTCATCCTCCCTGCGTTCAGGAGTGCAACCTGCCGACAAAATGTAAAACAGACTCAGACCATGACTGGATTATGGACAAGCCAGTCGAGGCAGATATATTTCCTATCCCTCTGGACGTAGGTCAGACTGGTACAGGCACAGCAGTAACTTGATATTGCCTCTCAGTGAACAAGTGGCATGACAAGAAACGATTGGCCAGGCTAGCCTGCTAGCATGCTAATTTCAACACAATACATAGACAAATTTGACATCAACACTTATCCTTTTTTTTGGCTGTTTTAACATTTCAAGACATATCTTACACCCTGCACCTTTAGGTCTGTTATCAGCAAATGCCAGTGCAGTTGTAGCCCATGTCTTCTGTTGATGTAGACGATGTTAATGTAAGATAAAACGTCTGGGTCAGAGCAAGCCTTTTACGCTCAATAGATGGAAATCGATAACTCAACAGAGCAGCCAGTGTTGTGGTAGCACATTCACCCTGAAGTCTTTTCCAACTTGTATCACTTGGAATGAGCTGGTATCTCTTATTGGGCAATGCCACATTATCCAGCTGACGGGGATAGAAGAGGCTGAGATGATCTTGTGGATTGCTTTCTTAGAGAGAACACATTTAAGGCATTGTTTTTAGAAAAAGGTCACTGATCACTGTCTTCCACAAATCTTGCTGCCTGTCCTCTTGCCACAAGGCAGCAATCTGCTTGCTATTTGACAATGCAGCTCTGCCTAGCCAATTATGGTAATCAAAGCCAATGTTTGCATATGCTGGATGGACTAAATATGTATGCATTCAGTCTGTAGTTGCTCTCTTGGAACCGCGTAATGCTTGGCAACTCGGTTCAGTCTTCCAAATGGTTGATTAGTTTCCTCAGCCTGTACAGTACCCTTCAGTTTATGGTTGAATCTGCCTTGTTTGGCATTCGCCTTTTTTGTTTTCAAGCTGTTGATGCTTGAGTTGTTTTTACAATAATTCCCCAACTGCTAACACCCCTGCCTGTCTCCAGATGTGTCCAGATGTTTGTCTGCACTTGGCTCCAACACAAAAGTGCACATTACATAAGGTTTTACAGGAGCCAATTGTAATGTTTTAAACGGGAAACATTAAGATACAAAGGAAATATTCTTTATTTTCTTTTAAAACACAGACACTGTTTATTAAACCTCCATGAGCTGAATATCTATGTCAATCCTGAAATAAATAAATTGTAAAACTGAAGGTGTGTTGGGGGGCACTCAGAGGTTGTTTCAAATTAGAGCAGGTTAACCTTTATTAAAAGACACATGTCAACATCACTTACGCTTGCTGGACATCATCTGCTCGAAACACTGCTCTGCTGGATTCATTTATGAAAATTGAAACATGAAATAGCTTCTTGTTAGTCACCCAATCATTTAGATTGATCCTTGGACCCAACCTTGATTGCACAGTCCAACCTTGCTGGGACAAATGCCTCAAAATGTCAAATAACACGGTGTGTGTTACGACACAGTAAACGAGTATCGATCGCTCTGTGCACCTGAAACCATCACACCTGCCTGCCTGCGAGTAAAACTTAAGATTTAGAGCGTAACGTGGGCTTGGAGAGAGACATGGACACTACAATTGCTTCCTTCTAGTGGCAGTTGGTTTTCAAAGCATTGCTTGACCACCCATGATGCAATCTGCAGCTGCTTACAGTTTTCATCCCAAAAATGCTTGTTCAATTCAATTTAACGGAAAACAAACCAGACCACTCTTCATCTGTTGTGCTTCCAATTTCTGCTCCGTGGGAAAAGAGATGTGAATGTATGGTGGTTAACCATTGCATCTGCACGGAAATTGATTGTGACCAAACACTATTCATATCTGGATGCATACATTTGATATGCTGTATAAACAGTAGCTTACAAAACTAGACAAGCAACATTTCTCCAATCAGTAAAACTGGCATTATTGTGTCACAATGTTTTCAGTGTGTTGCACACTGTACGTGATTGCATCTGAAGAACACCTGTGCCTACACAGAAATATCCTGTCACTCTCAAAGAGACAGAAGCAGGTTCAGGGGGTCTGACATTTGGCCTTTCCCCAAAGGATCTGCTCTTTCCTCCCCTGTTGAGCAAGCCTCCCATGCCTCTATTCCCCAGACACGGTAAGACTACGCACTTCACTGTGCTGCTGTTTGATATTCCTTTTTTATTGAATTATTTGTTTTTTAAATGTATTTTTCTGTCCTTTTTTTACTCCGAGTTCAGGTAGCAGATGAAAGACAGATTCTCCACTTTTAAGCCCTTACGGTATCTTCACAGAGACACATTTTGCAATTGTAAGCCAATAAAAAGTTGTTTAACATTTATAAACAACACATTGTATTCTCAGTAGAATTTGCTTTGTGGAAAGTAACACGTATTTCTTATTTCTAAAGAGGCTTTTAAGTGTGTTATCTTATCTAAATGTTTGTTCTTATTGTTTGTTCTTGCAGGTATAGACTCAATTTGAAGTTGTATTCATCCACAAAGGGTATTTGTTTGTCACAAAAATACAAAGTATCGTGTTTTTTTCATATATGAGTGCGCTTGCATGGACTATATTTCTCTCCATGCACACGTGATGTACACATTGCATGCACAGTGTATACTCATATAACATAAACACTATACATTTGAAATGTGAAAGAACCGATATATGTCAAAACAGGGGACAGCAGGGAGCCTCATGATAATATCAGCGTGTGCTCAATGTTTCAAACGGCTGTGAATCGCTGTTGGCTCCTGGGCTACTTTAACAGCTCAGTGGGAGGTCTGAGATTCTGTTAAGGCACAGGTGCACCGCTCCGCTTCAAATACCTCTGACTTTGGTTTGAAATAGTATGAGTGCTTTTGACGTTTTACTGTATATGGAATTGCTATTGTGGAGCTTATATGTGTTGTTGGCACATGTATTTGTCGTTACATTTGTGTTGAGGTTTGGGTATGGGGGGTTGTTCTTACTTGTCTTGATGGTAACAAGACAGTGTTTGTTCCCTTCAAACAGGCTCAGGTTAGTGTCAGATTTAATAGGAACCATTGTCATAAACGTGAGCGGAAGAACACCATGTTCATGGCTTTACAATAAAAAGACAGTTCAGGGAAATGTGCTGCGCTTTGTACAATCACTCACAGTGATCTAAAATGACTCCAAATGAAAATAGAGATTACTAAATTATAAAGAAACTGCAGTTTGTTGTTGTATTTGTAACCAAACAAATCATATTTTTACAAAGTGTATTGAAATAACATCCATACTAAACCCATCTTTAAAAATAATTGCACACATTTGTTCAAGTTATGTGAATGTGTACTGCAGCTATACCCCACTCTCTCTCTCTCTTTTGCGTTCTACCTAACTTAGTGGTTTAACTGTTGATACATGAACAACACATTCACTCATAGTGCACATTTGATTTGTTCCTTATTTTACTATTCTTGCTGTCAAACATATATTTTTAACAACATACATGCAAACATTTAAAAGGAAAACATGATGTTAATATATAACAGATTGCACGGCAAAAACTTAAGATGTTGAAATGGATATGACATGCTGCTTCATAAAATGCCAATTCCTCACCTAATTATCCAATTTTCAAGAATTGCTTTGCCAAAATCCACAGGACTGTCCATTCCATTGTGAAGTGATCCCCAGACAACAAACAGCACTCCATGCTCTTCAGGATCATGCTGCTGGTAGCTCTCACCGTGCTATTTGTCTCTTTAAGGTTTTGGCTGTGAAAGCTTTCTCTGCCCAAAATCAGTTTTCAACCTTGTTTTTCTTAGAGGGCTCCTGGAACACTAGATCAAGTCCGGTGACAAAATAACAAGAGCTGGGAATTCATACTGTCAAACTGACAACAACAACCTTTGTACTCAGACAGGAACAATTTCAGAATACCTCCCAAGGTCCTAAAAATCTCTCGTCAATGAATGTATCTCCTCTTTGTCCCCCATCCTTGGTGATGTCTGCAAGCCCATACTTAGGATGATGTCTACTTACTTTTATGGCCTAGCTGAAAAGACAGCAACGTCATCCGTGACATCAGTCAGTCATTGATTTGGTGTTTGAACATCTAATGGCTGGTACCTGGCTGTTGGCTGTCATTTTCATGTTTTAGAAAAATCTATCTACAAAGTACGAGCGTTACAACTACAAAACACATCACAAGAAAAACGATTTCACCTTGTATGTGTTTGACAGACCGACAAACAGGCAGACACAAGATCTGACACCATTCAACTACATTTTAAATAAAAATCACCAGCGTGCAACTTCCACACCTGATACAGTACGTGACACAAGAAAACCACCCACACAAGTCATACAGTAATAATAATAACGTAACGCAAGGTGAAATCCCACCAAAACAGCTATTTTATATGCAACCATGTATGAACATTATCTGTGTGTAAGGTAATTGTCTTTGCAATTTGCTGGGTGTCATAAGGAGCAGATGTGTATTGCAGTCATTCTCTCTCACTGGAAGTTTTGGCTGTCTAGCCTTATTTATTCAGATGTCAAGTTGTAATTTGATATATGGCCAGCAAATGCATTTACAGTGTGCATAAATATCCTCTACAAATGAAGTTATGAGTGATTGCTTATGCTTAACAAGGTGGGCAAATCAGTCCCAAGCATCTTTTCTTTTCCAAACATCGGGCTTTATATAGAAGGTTTCTAGCCTCACCTACTGGATATAAATGGAAATGTCCAATGCTCATGTGTCCTTTTTTCTTTTTCCCTCTATCCTTGTTCCCCTTTCTACCTACCCTTTTGTTCAAATCCCCAACCCCTCTCTCTGTCCCTCCTTTCTTCCCTTTTCTGTCTTTCTCTGTAGAATATGCCATGACACAACGATGAGCTCCAACAGCACAGACCCTGGTCTCTTCCTGACTGCAATCACCTCACTACCATCAGCCGGAGCCTTCCCACAATCTTTGAATTCCCTGGAGAATAATTCATCTTCCACCAGCAATCTCCTAAACCTCACCTCAGAATCTAAGAACATAACAACACCCCTTCATCACGTGGTTAGCCTTCCTTTGTGGCAGGTTATCATCATTGTCTTGCTGACAGGCATGCTGTCACTGATCACCGTCATCGGCAACGTCCTGGTGGTGGTATCCTTCAAAGTTAATCGCCAGCTTAAGACAGTCAATAACTACTTCCTGCTGAGCTTGGCTGTGGCTGACCTCATCATAGGGGTCATCTCCATGAACCTTTACACAGCTTATCTTGTAATGGGCTATTGGGCCATGGGCAAGTGGGCATGCGACATGTGGCTGGCTATAGACTATGTGGCTAGCAATGCTTCAGTTATGAACCTACTGGTCATCAGCTTTGACCGCTACTTTTCAATCACCAGGCCTTTGACCTACCGAGCCAAAAGGACCACAAAGCGAGCTGGGATCATGATCGGCCTGGCCTGGTTTGTTTCTCTTGTTCTGTGGGCCCCAGCCATCATCCTATGGCAGTTTTTTGAGGGTAAAAGGACAGTCCCCTCAGATGAATGCTACATTCAGTTCCTCACAGAGCCCACTATAACTTTCTGCACAGCCATGGCTGCTTTCTACCTGCCTGTGACGATAATGAGTGTTCTCTACTGGCTAATTTACCAGGAAACCCAGAACCGTTCGAAGGAGTTAGCTGGGTTGCAGGGTTCGGGAAGTCGTGGTGGGGCTGGAGGAAAAGGAGGGAGTGGTGGGGGCGAGAAAGCCCGTTTCGTCCATCAGACAGGAAGTTCTAGAAGTTGCAGCAGCTACGAGCTAACTAGGTTATCACGGAGAAGAAGCACATGTCGGGAGTTGGTTGGCCGCTTCCACTGCTGGCCTGGGGTTCGCTCCTGGAGACCTGGCAGTATCCGGCAAGGAGAGGGTGATCCAGACCAGAGCAGCAGCGACAGCTGGAACAACAACGATGCTGCAATCTCGTTGGATCACTCTGGGTCTTCAGAGGATGAGGAATGTGGGGGCAAAGAGATGATTTCCCAGAGTCATGCTATTTTCTCCATCGTTCTCAGCCTGCCTGGTATAAAAGCTGCTGTCAACTCCCAACTCACCTCATGTGAGGATCTGGATGCAGCCTCAGAGAACGATCCCCTCAGGGGAGAGGAGTATAGTAGAGACAGCCTCTCAACCGCCACCACTAACACCACTGCCACCACTACTCCCGATGGTGAAGTAAATTCAGAAAAAAGTGCATACCACCAGCGCTTCGGCTCACGCAAGATTCAATCGATGCCTATCATCCAGTCCAACTCGAACCAAGGCTTGAATGGTCCCTCAACAACTGCTACCACCGCCACCGACAATTCTACCACCAGCACCACCACTAAATCCCCCTCTGTCCCAATATCCTTCAAAGAGGCAGCTATGGCAAAGCGTTTTGCAACCCGTGCCCGGACTCAGATCACTAAGAGGAAGCGCATGTCCTTAGTGAAGGAGAAGAAGGCAGCTCAAACTCTCAGTGCCATCCTCTTTGCATTCATCATAACATGGACACCTTACAACATCATGGTGCTGATCAATGCCTTTTGCAAAAATTGCATCCCAGCGACACTGTGGGCTGTTGGGTACTGGCTTTGCTACGTCAACAGCACAGTCAACCCCATGTGCTACGCCCTGTGCAACAAGACTTTCCGTACAACCTTTAAGATGATACTAATGTGCCAATGGGACCAGAAAAAAAGGCGGAAGCAGCAGTTCCAGCAGAGGCAGTCGGTGGTCTTCCACAGAAGGATTCCCAGGGAGTCAACGTAAAGGACTAGGAAGAGTAAGATTTAACACAGGAGAAGAAAAAGGAAGAAGCATCCATGTAGTTGTTTCTGTGGAGTATCTTTGCTTAGAGATCCTTAATGTGTTTCTCTGCTGGTGTGTCCAGCACAGCAACCCCATGTGGTGGTTTATGAGATATGTGTTGGTGTTGGAGCATCCTTTTAGCAAAACTGTGTGCTTGAAGGATTGTGTATACAGTAGTGAGATTCAGTTATGAAAACTCTCTCTCTCTCCTTAATGAATTCAACCGTTTGAATGTGGGAACCAATAGAAAAGGGCTTTAAAATGCTTTGCAGGAGAATCTTTGAAGTGCAATTGACACAAGAGGAAAGGATATATTTGTCACAGGGCTGGGTATTCACATGTATTATATTGTCTCTACATAGATCTGTAACGTGCAGAGTGGTTTTGCATTAAAAACAAAACATGGAATCTGTTGTCACTGAAAGCCAAGACAAAAACTAGTGTTAGTGTTCACATGCTTCTACATCGTACTGATTTGACCTGTCTCCTATTGACTGGCAGGTGTTTTTATCAGAAACTATGTACATTGCCTTTCTACATAAATATAGCTTCCCTGTGTCTGATGGAATATAAAAAAAAGTTCTTGAATTGTGTCCTTCAGTCAACAGAGTTATTTTTGTGATATTAATTTTTGAGGTTTTCTAGATATTCCTGAGATTTTGAGCCAGTCTGAAAATTCTTCTTCTGATGAATTGAGTTGTGGATATTTGTGTGGCACCACAGTCAGTGAACTGCTGTAGTGTTCAATGTGATTGTTGTGGTTTTTATGGTGGAGACAATAAGTACATTGGTTGTGTTTAATGTACTTGCAGTTCTCTGTCCAGAGTAATGATTATACATTGATGATATTCTGTTTGTGTCTATTTGAATATTTCTGACTTGATATACAATGATTGATTGCACACACAAAGATGTCCATTTATAAAGATGTGTGTTTTGATGTTACACTATCTTTTAGATTTCTACAAAATGATACAGCTACGGTACTTTTTGTAGAGGGCCGCCACTCTTTGACTTGAGAAATAGCTGTATTTCTGGCAGTCCCACTTCTAAAATTGTACTTGCTTAGGCTTATAAGTATGAAATTAAATTTAGATTTGAAATTTTAAAAGTATATATATTTTGGATCTTGAAAAATAAGGTTTGCAATCATTGAAGTAACCATCGTTTAACTTTCTGTCGTAGCCGGAATATTTTATGTTGCATTTAAAATGATTTTTGGGTGAAGTTTTTTCTTATTATTAAGCAGCAATTGATTTGTAAATAGAATTGATAGCTATTTTGGTCATCAAGTTTTTCCATACACCAACAAGTCAGCATGAAGAGGCCAATGACTTCTTGATGGATAAATAAGAATTTATTTTAATTGTTTATTTGTATTGCACATTATCTTATTCTTATTTTAAGATGGTTTTTACATTATTTCCACCCAGATATTGAATACAGTGCAAAAGGTATTGAGGGCAAAGGATAACCTAGCCTTTATTATGACAACTGACGTACTGAAGAATTGGATCATTTTAGTACAATTGTATTCATATGTGCTGAGTGCAAAGAGATGTTAACAAATATCCCATGTGTGTCATCGGGGGGAATGTGCTCCAGTGTCATGATACCTTATTCAGTAAAATATGAGGTTTTTGTACTTAAATATTGGGAATGTAAACTACCAAAATTGTGAACACAAACATTTTGTTACATTTCAAGTATGCAATCATACTCATATTTTAAGTCAATAAAAAAACAAAAACCTTTTTGACAGAAATTATCAGTTTTTTCATGTCGCAAGTTATAATGTTATTTTGTATCTGTATGTATAATTGTAACCTTTATTTACACACAGGGTGATTTCATGAATATGGAAACTACTACCACTACTACTACTACTACTACTACTACTACTACTACTACTACTACTACTACTGAAATAATACTTGATATACAAAAGAATATATATTTAGTTTGTAATGAAATCCAGTAGATAATGATTATAATTTAAGGCGATGTACCTGATCTCAGAGTTAAATGTGTTATAATTTTAAAAGCTATGATCTGTCATTTTGACTTTTTTTTAATATTGTTCTAATTGAGTTATCTTTTATCCCCTATTTTCATAAACCTGTGTTGTTCAAGTTTGTATTTAGAGTTGCTGCAATGTCAGGTAATGTTAGGAAGACACAGCTGATATCTTCTTGGGTGGGAGGGGGGTTTAAAAGTTGCATCATGGTGGACTATTCCAACTAGATAACACTGGACGACTTGATATTATGCGTGGAAGCTTGCGTCTAACTTGGTGTTAAATTAAATTTGTGCATCACTGTCTGACACCACCACACCATTCGAACTGAGTGTCTAATTATACCCAGAAAATGAATGAGCACAGTAATGTTCTTTGACCGTTGCGCAGTTGTGTATTTTCCCATAATGAGGCCTGATGAAGTTAGTAAGGGGAGTCTGAGACGGTGCTAATGGAAGTTGGCGAAGGAGACCAGACATGTGATGAGGAAAATACCAACTTCATGTGACCCATGGCTGAGGAGCGGCTCACAGAGGAAGACAAACAGCCATTTGTGTTGTTTTCTAAACCAGGGAGGAGAAGTCACAGGCTCAGTCACAGGCAAGTACACTGTCATTTATAATAATATGTTTTAAAATATCTATCTTAAAGGTTGATCATCGATATTTCACATACTGTATTTTCATATACATGTACATATTACACATTTGGCTTGCATTGGAAAGTGATTTAAAAGTGCGTTTGTTTTACAGAGACGATGTCCTAGAGTGCTCAGAAGTAGAAACTGATGTCATTATTTAAGATTTGAATAAAGTAAACTGTAAGGAGTTTAATGAACCTAGTAACAACAAATGTCTTACAATTAGGGGCCTTGTTAGTACAATGTGTTATTTAAAAAATATATATATATTTGTTTGCGTTTATCTGGTGTACACCCTGGATGTGTTTTCTTACTTCAAACCACTTACTTTTTAATTCAATCAATTAGTGTCTAATGGCTAAACCTTATCTGTACCACACCCATAGCAGTAATCTGTCCTAAGGCATGACTTGATTCAGGCCCACACACACATACACCATTTAGATCATGTCAATTCAAGCTTTAACAGATGTTTTTGAATGAAATATTTGGCGATATTAAAACTGTAATATGTATTTTACTTTGGACATAGTTCCAACTGCACTACCTGAGAAGAAGTAAATAGCAGTAAGAATATCTAAATGTTGACATCAGACATATTTGGCATGCTGAAATAGATTCATTTTCGCTATGTATGATACAGTATTTTGATTTAGATTAAGAGTCCGTCTGCCCATTCTGTGGATACAGAAATAGAACATTTTGTATTATTTAATATTTTTTTGAAAAAAGGCGATCGCAAGATCCTTGGTCCCACCAGCTCCCACCGACTATATTGAGTACGCTCGTATAAGATGAGAAGAAATCTGCAAATATTAGGATAACTCAGTTTGCATTTTACATTTTCACTAGATTGACTAATTGATTTCACTTTTTCACTTTTCATACATGCCTGCTTAATGGTAATTTCACAAAGTTTCTCTTGCTGTCACCAGTTGTGTTACGTGAATGTTAATCCATCTTTTCTTAACTTAAATCCAGATAACTGTGTTTGTAAATCCAAACATCTTAAGTGTACAAGTAATGGACAAATACATGCAAAGTGCTAAAACACAGAGTGAAAGAATTTAATGGAACAATGATCACTATTCACTAAATGTGTACAGTCCATGGCAAAAAGAGACATAAGACTGAATTATGTCAGCTTGAACTCATGTTCAACTTTGACATCATGACTCCACCGGGAGCAGATTCTCTCTTACAGTTAAGCTTAAATGTATCAAATGAACCAATGTAAATGTTCCTCTTCACTTCATCCTGTCTAGATCTTCTCCCCTCTGGATGAAGCCACAGTGGTCAGGATGCAGACTTTTAAGACGGTGGAGACCCAGGTGCCCTTTCTGAAAGAGAGTTTCTTTACCACCACTTTCAAAGGCAGGAGGAAGAGCAGCGTTACCAACCTCCTCCGTAAACAACAGAACTCACTCCTCAATCAACACCAGTGCATTTTAGAGCATCCTAAACCAGTCATTTGCACTTCAGTCGAGAATGGACAAGGATCGCACACTCCTGAACATCAACGACTCGCTCGCTCGTCCAGCAGCCCGTTATGCAAGACAGCAGAGCGTGCAGCAGCAGATGGGGATAAAAAGGAGGGGCAACAAGAGAGGAAGGATAAGAGAGTGAGCGAGGCTGTGCACGGGAGGGGGGGTGAGCAAAGAGTGAGTGGTAGTGAGCCCGCGGCTGTCAGTGCCAGTCTCCTCCTCCTTTCATCATCAGCATCAGCGGCACAGGGGGAGGCAGCATCATTCTCACAGCTGCCTTTAACTGTGGTGGGCAGACAGCAGGGATTAGGCAGCTCTGATAGGGCTCTGACCAACAGAGGAGAAGCATCAATAGCATCCCAGGAGGAAGCCCAGCATGCCCAGCCTCGACCCCAGCAGAATGGCCTGTTAGCAAAGGGAGTCCGCCTGTTTAGAAACATGGGGAACCAGGAAACAAAGCAGAAGAAAGGAGGAGGAAGTGGAGGAGCAGCAGGGGATGTCTCCTGTGACGGCGATGCTGACGAGAGGGATGTGGACAAGAAATCTAAAAAGTCCCACAACAAGATAAGTAAAGCAGGAGAACAAGCCGGTAGGAAGAAATCGAAGTCTGAGTCGAAGGGCTCTATGTTTTCTGGCATGAAGATCAGGAAGAGTTTATCAAAGGCGAAAGGGGTGTCTAAGGATGATATGTTGGACGATGGGCGGTCAGCACACTTGAGCAAAGCAGGGCCCACACCAAGTGCAGAGGCGTCAGCTGATGAGATGGGCATGCTATCAGATGTCGAGACTGGCCGGAAAACAAGCTCAGGGTCGGATGCTGACCTCTACAGTTTTCACTCGGCCGCAGCTGAACATGAAGACCTGCTCTCTGACATCCAGCAAGCCATAAGAGACCAGTCCAGTGACAAGCAGGAAGTGCTTACTGTTAATCTATCTGAAGGACTATCATCTGAGGGGAATAAAGTCCAGGAGAAGCTAGAGTCTCCTCAGCTATTAAATCTAGAAAAGGATGTTTATTCTCCTCCTGTTGGTGTTGAATGCGTACCAAAAGAAGTAAGCGAGAAATATAAGAATGTGGAGAACGAAAGCTATGTCATATCAAGTAATTCATCTGGTACAGGAACCCCGAGTGAAAGTGGTCCAGCCTCTTCGGGCCCGGATACAGAGAGAAGCAGTGGAAGCCTTCTCCCAAACACTAACAGCACATACAGCTTCCACGACAATACGACTAACAGTTCCACGTATGAGAGTGCTGAGGAGCACCAAGAAGACTTGGAGAGCCCAGTTCTGGCTGCACAGAGCATAAATACAAGTGTGCCAAGTGTCTGCTTGGACCCGGTGGTGGCAGGTTCGAAGGGGCCTCACAAGAGTGTGAGCAGCATGGACCTGTCTATGGAGAGGGAAGAGGAAACCGGGAGACGGGACTTCCTCTCTCTAAAAAGGAGGAAGAGTAGTTTGTCATTTAGTCTGCTAACGCCAGACGTTCCTCAGCATAGGCGGACATCCTCCACCGTCTCCCCTTCAACTGTCAAACTCTACCCTCCAGTCCACCCCTCCTATGTTAAGACCACCACCAGGAATCTCACCTCTCCAATTGGCTCCCCTATTACCAGTCCCAATGTGCCCAGGAAAACAGATGTCAACGATGCTGCTGTAGAATCGACCCAGGTATTAAGAAAGCTCAAGAAGAGGTCTTGCTCAGTTGCTGGGTCCCTCAGTGGGGCAGCAGACTGGTTAACAGAGTTAGATAAGCTAAGAAGGAGGCAGAGTGGTGAGGCCACATTTCCAGAGCAGGAGACACCTGAGAAGGGAAACACTGGCGGGAACTACTGGACCCTGGGCTCCAGGAGAGCACAGTATGGACGGCAGGCCTCCACTTCCACAGTGCCCTACCTGGACGTCTTCTCTGGTGAGTCTTTCCGTATAGTTCAGAGAAAAAGAGAGGTATTTGGGGGCTTCTTGATTTAATGTTGTGAACTAGCAGAGAGTGGTCTTGTATTTTTAATCAAATGGATGATAGAGGGATGTTGCAAACATGTGAATGGATAGGAACAAGGATGTCTGTCTCAGCACCTTTTTACGAATGTTATTGGACTATTTGAAATGGATTTTATAATCAGCATCATCAGTGTGATGCACCAGGGGACTGCTACACTGAGTAGGGTTTATCATCTATTCACACGGTTAAAAGAAGAAAAACAAGGAGACAACACCAACCTTTAGTGACCTAATTATGACAGGAGCAAAGGAGGAAGTCAGGAAGACATTTATACAGAGCCAGAAATCCATAAGAGGAGGATTTAGAGTGATGGATGGGGAAAGAAACACAGGACTTTCACACAAGAGGCCAAACCAACAACGCCTTGTTGTCATTGTGTCTCTTGATTGATAATACCTCACTTCCTGTCTGTAGTACTTAGCTTTAAGCCTGAGTGTTCTTAGTCAAGAGGTAAATCTCCGTCTCCTTTTAAAGAAGCGCTAATTAGCTTCCTACAGTAAATCAGCTAGGCACTGTAGGCTTTTGTTGTTGACTATATCCAGCTGCAGATGATGCATGTGGGAAAATAAAGAGCGTTGTTTATTGACAACAAAGGAAGTATGGCACAGAGAGTAACCTACAACATGCTTTAGTTAATACAAGCCATACATGTTAGCAGGATCAATACATTGTGGCTAATGGCCTTTACATGTGATCTTTGAGATAATAATATAGAAAGTCATTAGACCTATGTAGAAAAAGCTTTTATTGACTCTCAGAGAAGCAATATTTGACTGAATACATCAGGACTTACCAGGGACAAATCACAATTCAAATATTATGCCTAATTGGTTTTTCATTTATTCCTGTTGTTGCTGGAAATCCCAAAGAGAGCAGATGTGACTCCTTTTGGTTTGGCTCCAATCCCCAGCCATGTCTGAGATTAGCTTATTATGCAATGTTTTTGTAAAATGATTATGTTAATAGCCTAGTAATTTTAATTCAAGTGACTTACAAATGAGATCATTATACAAATGATCACAGCGGGAATAATAAAGTTATGATTTAAAAGTACAATAGCTCATGAAAGTCATGATAAAACAGTGGGGGCTCTTTTATTGAGAAGTGTCTCAAGAACAAAAGCCTATTTCTAATGAAACAATGCCACTCTGTCCTCATTTTCTGTTGCATTTCAGGAGCTCAGCTGCTCTCCACTGTCTGAGCCACATGTCCTCATAAATCTACTCTCAAGCAGCTCTGCCCCCCCCGCCCCCCAGGGGAATCCACACACACACACACACACACACAACCCATCCAGTGCACACTTGTGGATGCTAAACACAAGTGACAGTTTATCTGCATGACAATAATGTGTCATGATATGAGATCCATTCACATTTCGTCAGGTGAAATTATTGCAGCCAAACAATGGAGGCGCATTGTATCTCGAACATTAACATTTGGCCTATATGGCATTTGGTAATTATAGGACATATGCTGTTTTTATTCACAGACTCTGGTTATGTCACCATTGAGTCTTTCACTGATTCAGTAATGCATGTCACAGCAATCAGTTCAGAGAGTTCTCCAGGTCCCATTGGGCCCTTAGGAGAGAGTGGGAGGACTGATAGAAAATAAGGGGAACAATTTAACATTTGAAACAATTGACAACATGTGAGACTTTTAACACACATTCTCGATTTAAATGCTTTAACGTGAACTCATTTGTATTACAGTTTTTCTCAATCGCTAAACCCACTTTTTAGAATCTAAATTCATTTCTTCAAAACAAGAGCATAGCCATCTAAACAGAAACACACTTGCCATAACTCTGAATATCTTTTGCAAAATGCACTTACATGACCAAAACTGAAAATACTGGTCACAAAAAAGAATAAGTCGATCGAAACAGAACAAATTGTCCTCTAATGAGACAAATGTGTTTTCATAACTGAAACTCCGGTCACCATAATAACCCATTCTACCATAACAATATACATTTCTTGCAAAGTGCTCTAAGGCACTCAAAACTAAAAATACCCCTTCCAAAACCAGATACCTTCTCCAAAAACAAACATTTGTCAGCTCATGAGAAGACTATTTGAACAGTCATTACTAAGTGGNAGTTCTCCAGGTCCCATTGGGCCCTTAGGAGAGAGTGGGAGGACTGATAGAAAATAAGGGGAACAATTTAACATTTGAAACATGTGAGACTTTTAACACACATTCTCGATTTAAATGCTTTAACGTGAACTCATTTGTATTAATTGTGAGACTGTCTTTCTTGAAGATTTGACCGTGCCTATTTAATTCTGTCACACAATCCATAAAATGCAATCGGTTTTCAGTGCTAGCCATCAAACTGCTCAACGTCCACAGCGCCATGAGTCATAGGACTTTGTTTATTCATTTGAGGCCGTCCACTGAATCACATGTTTTTAATAGATATTAAGCTAGTCTAACAGCATTAACAACNNCAGTCATGCAAATTCTATCATGTAAATGTTTTCAATGTAACATCATTACTGTAAGGTATACAGTACATTCCATGGAGTTACCTTTTTCAATGGGGTGATTGACTGATAACAAGTGTTAATATTTTGCACATCAAGTGTCAATTAGTGTAGCTATGGTCTAAGTTTATGAGGAAGTGTTATCCACTGTGAGAAGATTATTTGTTGTTTTGTAGACATGAGTTACACAACAGATTTTTGATCTTTGTGTAGAGAATTGTAACTTCAGTTAGAGAATTGTGTGATCTGTTTTGCAAAACACTGCTTAGCATCTGCATTTTGTGTGATATCAATGAGAAATGGTATACTGTTGTAGAGAAATGGTTTTCTGTTTCGATGGCTGTGCTGTTGGTTTGATGAAAGGAATTTTGATTCTAAATAGTGGGTTTAGCGATTGAGAAAAACTGTAATTGTGAGACTGTCTTTCTTGAAGATTTGACCGTGCCTATTTAATTCTGTCACACAATCCATAAAATGCAATCGGTTTTCAGTGCTAGCCATCAAACTGCTCAACGTCCACAGCGCCATGAGTCATACAGTAGGACTTTGTTTATTCATTTGAGGCCGTCCACTGAATCACATGTTTTTAATAGATACTAAGCTAGTCTAACAGCATTAACAACTGACTGCACTCTCTGTGTCATGGTTGGAGTCTTAAGTAACAGAGCTGTGTTTTTCCTCCAGTCTCAATCCTTTTTTTTTGGTGCTGTCGCTTAGTCACTATTTCCCCTAATGGTTGTGTTCCTGCCACCATTAAGAAACAGGATTCTTCCTTATCTGGGATCCAGGGATTTCGAGACGATGACACATTTCCCACAGCTCAAACTCACTTTTCTTTCTAACTCTGGCTCCATGAAAAAAAAAGTATTTACTCCTGATTTCCGAGACAAAGAGAAACTACTTTGTTTTTCCAATGTCTTATTTAAAAGTAGAATGAATAAATGATACAACCACACCACCAGGTCAAACATTGTGTTGATGCTTGTCTGACACCAAAAACCCACTTATCAGTTATATCAAGTTCATCCATAGGTGTTTTAAGACTGTATTAGTTAAAACAGTTATATTATTAGATGCACTTGTACCATGAATGTGATCCAGCATTTGTAAAAATGTTGCACAGCACAATTAACACCATCTCTCTTGTCACCCACATGTAAATGGTGTGAACGGAGTTTGCACGTGTAGGTGTTTCATTATCACAACCGAAACTGAGACATCTCTTTTCAACTAACACTTGCAATTGCCTCATTCTGATACTAAGAAATAAGTAATACGGAATCCAGAATCAGGATATATTTATCTTAACTTAAAATGTAACGTTTCCAGACAAAGAAACACAAATATTCAGTCATAGTGAGCCAACATGAGTACCTGCAGTTTATTCCTATGATGGAAAATGGAGCTCTGTATTTTTAGTTTTTTTCTAGTTTTATCATTGCACTTCATTGCTTTTTTTGTTCTCAGGTCGCACTCTTCTAGACTGGCTGTGTATGCATCATGAAGACGGGTCTACAGAAGAGGAGGCGAAGGAACTGTGTCAGCGACTGTTGGTCCAAGGTCTGCTGCAGCCTTTCAGTGACAGCACAGCAGAGCCCCATGGTGACAGCCCTGTCTCAGCACTCTTTAATGTAAGACCTCTCTTCACTGTCTGCCATCATGCTAGTTTTAAAAAAATGATGACATGAGTTGCCCTGCATCAGCAATTTAATGGTATGTATTTGATTTCAAAGGCAATAACTGCAGGGATACAGCTCAATTGTATCTTTAGCTTACCACAATGGGATGCATCTTGTTAGTGATTGTCCCATGGGCTGTGTTTGGAGCACATACATGTAGTTATTTAACATGTGCTTATCAGCTGATACGATCGAAGAATTTAGCTCAAAGGGATTTGCAGTAGCCAACATATGTTAGAGAGCAATGCAAAGCTTATCAGACTTTCTGTATTTACTGCTGTATAACTGTGATTGGTCCCCGAGACTTTTCATTATCTGAAGAGCAGTGGTGCGCGTAGACAGTGTGGCCCCTTCCAAGTTAATTTCATGAATCTTTAATTCTCCATTCCTGTAATGCTTTGCAGAGAACTAATCTCATGTGCATCAAATCCTTCACCACAGCCACCGCCTTAGCTATTTCTTTCAAGTTCCCCTGTAGCTGAATCCATCCGACTGAACTGCATGATGGTTGTTTTGAGTCAACACACTGTCAGAATCAGAATCAGAAACAGGTTTTATTACCAGGTAGGTTTACACGTACGAGGAATTTGACTTGTGGTGCATAAAAACAAGAATTAAAAACACAGGTAGAGAACTAGAAAAATATTTAAAATAATACAAAATATAGTAAAATATAAAAGTATTTGCAAATTTTGCATCGCAATGGAATGGAATAAGAAGGAATAAAATATGGGATAAAAATAAATCGGCAATAATACAAAATATTGTTGTACATTGTGTGCATTATATTTACAAATCTGCCAAATAATTATTACAACTAGAATATCTTTCATGTGAATATCTTTCAATACCAGGAAGTGACTTGGTAAATCCTATTTGATTATGTGTGCATGGATGTGTCTTTATTTCTCAGAGAAGTTAAAAGAATTACATTTGTTGTAATACATTTCACACAATAGGACGCTGAGATGAGTTTAATGATTTATTGTATCATTAGTGCTATTTTTATCAATGCTAGCAAACTGGCTCAACGGATGACAATGTATGTCAGACCACTACTTGGGTTCAGACTGAAATATCTCAACAAGTATTGTCTGGTTTGCCATGAAATATGAATCATTCATGAGTAATTCTACAGCCTCTTAGAGATACTTTCTATAGCGCCATTATGGGGTTGATCATTGTTGTGTGTGAATGTCAACAATTATGGAAATACTTCAATTAAATGTTCTAAATATGTTCTCATTGTGCCCAGATGATAAATCCCTCACTTTTTCCATAGCACCACAATCAGGAGTTGTCACTTATTCAGTGAAATATCTCAAGATTTAAGTCTTACAACATTAATTTAAACATTTTTTGAGTGAAATATCTCAACGACTGTTAAATTGATTGATATGCAACAGATAATCTTGCTCGCCACAAGATGAGTTGTAATCACGTTGTTGATCCATTTGACTTGTGTGTATTAGTGTTTAGTGTTGATCTGAGTACAGCCTCACAGAGCTGTTGACTCTTATTATTGTGTTTGTTTTATTTCAAAGAATGTGAACAGATTAGTGTGGCTCTAGCGGAAAATGCACCTCCCCCACAGATGTTTATTCATAGACTTACATTGTACATGCACATATGCACAAAGTATGATAATATATCATATATCATATCATATTATGCATTACCTAAACACAAAGAAATACACATTCACCAGAACATGCATGCTTTATAAAGTTATATCTTATTCTTCTTGCTCAGTGTGTTGTCACAAAGTGCAGAGTTCTTGCTTTTTATGTACAATTGTGCCCCGTGTGCACTCATATTTACAAAAGGACAGACCCAGACACTCTTATTCAGGCATTTCCTCGCATGGCTGGATTAATAGCAGTCGCTCTGACACTCTGTGCTTGCGTAGACCATCTGCTGACCATGTTATGTAACAATTCCACGTGCCTTGGGCTCAGGCTGCTCTTCCCCAGCAGAAAGCTCACCATGTCCGAGTAGCACTCTTCGAGCCCACCCCCCTTTTATGTTGTCGTTCTTTTTTGTTTTGTCCTCATTCTCTGCTTTTGGCCTGGAGTCCTGCATTTTTCAGCTTGATCAAGAACAACCTTTGATGTTGCCATTCAGAGTACAGATCCTGTGTTATTGTTAACGTCCCTTTTTAAATTAATGATCACACTCTGTTTATGCTTCCCTGCACCCTTTAGCCCCATTCATTATTTCTATTTTTACATAATTCTTCTTTAATTTACAGTTAAATTACATCTTGAAAACAATCTCTTTCTAAATGTCCTTGTTCTTTTTCTATCTCCCTATTTCCATCTTTATCTCTCCTCTCCTCTTCTGTATGTCCTTCTCTTTGCTACCTAAATATGATATTGCATCCAATGTCACTACTTTGCTGAAGTGAATAAATGTATGACTTGTTCGTTTCTTGTTCTGCATACTGCCTGAAATTCAATACTTCATCGGCTTCATTCAATCTAAAATAAGGTTTTAGGAGGATAGGTAGCATGGGCTTCCATCGATCTGGCATGCTCTGTACATTGTGTGTGTTTGTTTCTGGCTGTAGGTCAGGTTACCTTAACACATAATGGGTTTTGTACTGAGGGTTTTTTTCTCAGCAAATGTAGCACATGTATGTGATCTCACTGGATAATGACTTGATTAACACTGCCGTGTATAAGCATTTAGTGTGTCACTGCATAGCATTAGCACTTTAGCACTGCTGCATTTAGCACTTGCTGGTCGAAACCATCAGACCTTTTAATCTGTGTTTTTAATATGTCTGTTTTCAAAGCACTCGCTGGAGCAGTGACTATAAATCTCGCTGTATTCTGTACAATGACAATAAAAGCTTTTTAATTTTGAATTGAATAGCATTACGTTCTAACTCACAGTCTGCTTGGAAATAATTGCTTTTTTTATTGGTCAAATAAAAAGTATTATAGAAAATCAGGGAAAGTTTGGTTTGTTTATTTTAGACTTTTACCACTACACGCTTTGTTTACATTTTTTGTGGTGCTCGTTATAGTGTCTGGTGTTGTCTTTGAAGAAAGATGAAGAGGGGAGAAGCAGGAACAATTATTTCAGTGTGTTTTTTTGCTCCGTTCTGATTTAATACCATTGATGCTCAGCCTATGAGGTTCAACAGGTCCTCCAAATCATTCACCATTTTTTTTTGTGCGTTTTCAGTTAAGATGCTTCAAAAAGCGGAGAATTTATTTGAATGTCTCAATATGTTTGACTGTGTGTCACATTGACTATGCAAAAGGAATAAATCTTTATTGTTCGACTGCTGTTTTTATTCTCAGGTGTTTCCACTCTTGAAGGGTTCATAAAAAGCTTCTACTTGACTCATATCCCCTGTGAATGTTGTTAAACTTTTATTGGATCCCACCATGTGTTCACACTGTTGGGAATATGTTGGTAGTAGTACTTGGTTTGAGCATGTCGTTTTAAGCACCACCATCTGACTTTGGGTCTGATCTCCTTTACAGTAAATGTGCTTGCTTGTTTTCTAAACTGTTTTCAGGAGGAGCAGCTGTACACCTGGGCATCTGTCGGCCTGCCAGTTTCCTCTCACCTGTGGGAACTGTATGGGGGGCGACCCACAGGCAGAGAACAAAGCTTGAGATCATGTTTGCATCAATCAGCCAAGACCCCAGGAGCTCTACCTGCTCAGGTTGGTTACATCTCCTCTACATCTAGAAATATTTTACTGCATGATTGCCCTGTTTTCCCCTTTGTGCATAATATTGGATTTCATTTATTGTAGTGTCACCTTAAATCAGAGAGCATCATCAGAAATGTTGTTTTTTGGTTTTGTCATTGGCAGATCTAGACCAATGTCTGGGGCTGTGCTGGGGCCAGTTATTTATGACAGTGGCACATTAAATGCCGGTAAAAAGAGACAAAGACAGTGTTCAAGATTGAAACATATATAGTTCAGTATATAGTATAACACCATAAAAAAACAATATTTTATGGGTTATTAATTTACCTTATCAAAAACTGATTTAACTTTGTCTCAAATTAAAGCACAGTCTTTGCTTCAACACCATCAGAAATGGGATTATCATAGATTCTTCTTTCTGAGGGGGAGCCAAAGTGGGGTCGAATCTCAGTGTTTCAGGAGCTTTCATAACACATTTAGTCAATACAGGAAAACAAATTCAACAAGACAATACCTATACAACCTGTCAAAGTGTTGAGAAATTGCTCAAACCCAGTCTCACAAATCTGCATCAGCCACAGAGCTCAGCTGTAAACTGCTCTGTGTCCACTAGAGGCCAGGCTTGTCTTGAAAGACTTGTTAGATCATTAAAGTGAACCTCACTGTTTCCTACAGGAGTTAATACATTAGGAAGGCTATACTTACTGCACGTTTTCCTTTAGATTCAACGATGTGACCACAACTGGGGAATGTGTACTAGCAGACACAAGCCCTTCCCATGTCAAGACCGACGAGACTCTCTGTCTCTGGGGTCAAATCTCTCGGTATCCCCTCATCCTGCTATAACCAGTCTGGAGCCAGAGGTCTGCTGGAGTAGACATAATGGACTCTCTTGACCCTTATTTTGATCACAGCTCTGTCGCTAAACTCCCTCATTTGTGGGTGTTGTACTGTTCATAAAGCATCATTCATTTAATGATTATGTGGCCAAGATTTACCAGGACATTTTATGTCTATTTAGTCCAAAATATGCTTGACTGTCTGCTTTCAAAGATGGCTTCATTTATCAAAAGCACAAACTCACAGCATCACACTCATTTACTTTAGTTTCCTTTTGTGAACCCAAATGTAGTTGCATGCTAAGTTAATATCTTATTTTGTGTTCACTGACAGACAGACTCCAGCAGGTTGAAGTCAGGTCAGTCGTCCTCGGAGGATGAAAGCTGTCTCATCCCTCAGCTGGAGCGGACCATCGATGACCTGCGGATTAAGATTGCTGTGTTGCAGGGCCAGCAGGCTTCCTTGGCAAAGGGCAGCGCTGATAATACTGGATCTCTGGGTGCTTCCCACCACAAGGCCTCACAGATGACGGGAGGAAGATTGGGGAAGATGAGCCAGGAGGTGTCTGTCCAGACCTCACCTGTGGGGGAGGGCTTTAAGTTTGACGTGCCTTTCAGCAGAGGATCAGGCAGCGTGCCGTCTCCTGTTTCATCCTCCATCCCCAAATCTACAGAGAGCTTTGTCTGCACGTGCCAGCAGAGACAACAGAGCGGTGCCCATCAAACTCCCCCACCTCCACCACCTTTACCAGGGGGTGTCGCTCCTCCTCCCCCACCACCTCCCCCGCCCTTACCCGGGTTTGGACCTTGTCCACCTCCGCCTCCCCCTCCTCCTCCTCCACCACCAGGTTTTGGACCTCCTCCACCCCCTCCTCCTCCTGGTTCTGGACCTCCACCCCCACCTCCTCCCCCGCCGGGTATGGGTCCACCTCCTCCACCTCCTCCCCCTGGAATGGGACCCCCTCCTCCACCGCCGGCCCCGGGCTTTGGGCCTCCACCACCACCAGGCTTTATGCCCTCCATGGC